ACTTCCCAAGCCATGCCAATAAAACCACATGCAATGACCCACTCTTGTTGTTGTGCCCTTCTTTGGAGAGGATCTTACTCTTGTCTTTCATCCTTTCTTTGGAGAGGAGATGGCAAGTAACGGTACATATAAAGGGAGAGATTGAGGAGGGGAAACTAGACTTTCCAAGGCGGTCTGTAGCCCTGAGCCAATAATGGCACATGCAATGACCCGCTCTTGTCATTGTGTCCTTCTTTTGGAAAGGAGATGGCAAGAAATGGTACCTTCAAACGGAGAGGTGGAGGTGGGAAACTAGACTTCCCAAGCCATGCCAATAAAACCACATGCAATGACCCGCTCTTGTTGTTGTGCCCTTCTTTGGAGAGGAGATGGCAAGAAATGGTACCTTCAAATGGAGAGGTGGAGGCAGGAAACTAGATTTCCTAAGGAGGTCTGTAAGGCCAAGCCAATAAAGGCACATGCGATGACCCGCTCTTGTCGTTGTGCCCTTCTTTGGAGAGGACCTCACTCTTGTTTTTCGTCCTTTCTTTGGAGAGGAGATGTCAAGTAACAATACCTATAAAGGGAGAGATTGAGGAGGGGAAACTAGACTTTCCAAGGTGGTCTGTAGCCCTGAGCCACTAATGGCACATGCAATGACCCGCTCTCGTCTGTGTGTCCTTCTTTTGGAAAGGAGATGGCAAGTAATGGTACCTTCCCAAAGGAATCTGTAACCCTGGAGAGATGGAGGCGAGAAACTAGACTTCTCAAGCCTTGCCAATAAAGCCACATGCAATGACCCACTCTTATTGTTGTGCCCTTCTTTGGAGAGGAGATGGCAAGAAATGGTACCTATAAAAAAGGGATGGAAGGGAGAAACTAGACTTTCCAAGGGAGTCTGTAACCCTGAGCCAATAACGGCACATGCAATGACTCTCTCTTGTTGTTGTGTCCTTCTTTGGAGAGGATCTCACTCTTGTCTTTCATCCCTCCTTTGGAGATGAGATGGCAAGAATAAAGGGATGGAGAGGGGGAAACTACACTTCCCAATGGGACTTGATCTTGGGTTCAATAATCACAAGTTATGACAACCCACTCGTTCTGCCCTTCTTTGGAGAGGACCCACTGGAGAGGAGACGGCAAGAAAAGGGAACTACAATTTTTCAAATGTTGTTATTTTCCAAATTGGAAGGTCGATCATGATTTATATAAATAAAAATGCAATGTTTGTTGGTTGGATCAACAGATCTCAAAAACCACTGGACGAATTGACACCAAATCTGGACACAAGACACCTAACAACCCTATGTATGTCCTTCACTCAAAGAAATTGCTTTTGTCATTTGGGAGTTGTAGTTGCTGGGATTTATAGTTCGCCTACAATCAAAGAACATTCTGAACCCTACCAATGATGGAATTGAACCAACCTTGGCACACAGTTTTCCCATGACCAACAGAAAATACTGGAAGGGTTTGGTGGGCAGTGTCCTTTGATTTTGGAATTGTAGTTCACCTACATTCAGAGATCACTGTGGACTCAAACAATGATGGATCTGGACCAAACTCAACAAGAATACTGAATATGCCCAAATGTGAACACTGGTGGAGTTTGGGGAACATAGAATCTTGACATTTGGGAGTTGTAGTTGCTGGGATTTATAGTTCACCTACAATCACAGAGCATTCTGAACCCCACCAGCGATAGAATTGGGCCAAACCTCCCAGTCAGAACCCCCATGTGGGCCACTCAACACGTGGCAGGGGACAACTAGTAATCAATAAATCCTGCCTTCCCCCTTCCGTTGGGTAAACCTTTCCCACCTGCTCTTGTTTTCCTCCGGGTGCCCATGATCCCAGGATTCAAATATCTGCAAATACACCCGAACCCAGTGCTCAGGATTAATGATTCACAGCTTCCAAAGAAAAGTTGGGACAGTTACTTTCTCCATTTCGGCTTCGTGAATGTCCTCCCTTGAACCCATGCCTGGGATCCGTGCAACTAGACTCACCGTGAAGATGCAATGTAAGAAGATGTTACGAGGGTTGAATGAAAAGTAATGCCTCCAATTTCGTTACTTGGGTTTGGATGGGAATATTTTAATAAATCAAATGAAGAAATAATCCTTAGAATGTGCTCTTTAACTATTCACCTTTTCACATAATCAGCAGACAATTGGATACATTTCTGACAACAATGAACAAGTTTTCTGAAGCCGTTACGGAAGAAGTCTGTGCATTTTCATTTGAGGTCAGCATCCTGGGTGCCCATCGTGCACAGATCTTCCGATAGCCTGGCCAAGCAATAATATGACCCACACGTTCTTGTGAAATGCTGATTATGCTTGAAATTTCTCTCTGAGTGATACAACGATCGTCCTGAATCAATCTGTCAACCTGAGTCCCTCTTCGGGGGGGAGAAGGACAGGGTATAAATTTAGGAAATCTATATAAATAAAAATGTAATGTTCGTTTGTGGGATTAACATAACTCAAAAACCACTGGATGAATTGACATCAAATTTGGACCCCTTACATCTATTGGGCTAATAAGTGACCATCACTCAGAAAAATACTGGAAAACACAGTGGAAGGGACTTAAAAAGCAAAAAAAAAACCATTACAACACATGCGCAAAACCACATATATACACAAACACACATATAAACATATATACACAAATATATACACACATATATGCATATATATATGCAAACATATACGCATATATATATGTGTGTGTGTGTGTGTGCACAAATATATACACACATATACGAATATATATATATATATATATATATATGCACAAATATATACACACATATACGCATATATATATATATATACACACACACACACATATAAATATACATATATACATATATACTAAAAACACATACACAAAACACATAGACACAGACTGGCCACAGCAACGTGTGGCAGGGGGCATCTAGTAAATAAAAAAAATGCTTGTGAAACTCAGTGGTTGCTGTCACAGGACGTCCAACCC